CTCTGCTGGTACTACTGTAAGTACTCCATTAAGTACTCTGTGAGTACTACTGTAAGGACCCAGTAAGTACTCTGCTGGTACTACTGTAAATACTCCATTAAGTGCTCTGTGAGTACACTGTAAGTAGCAGATACAAACCCACAGGGACATATTGTGTAAAACAGCATTTTAAAATGTATTTATGTTGTAATTCGACACCAGCAGCATGTTTCATAGAAGACGACACAAAGGCAAAAAACAAGAACCTCTCACACCTGATTTGTTTCATTAACAGATGATTTTTAAGTTATTCGGATCAGAAAAAGCTTCTCGGGGAAGCAGAAGATGCTAAATGTCACTTCGTCCTTCTGTAGCTTTGACGCTTCAGGATCAAATATTCTTACCTCGAGTGGAACAACTCGGATACATTCCTAATACAAGCGACACCTACAAACAAACAATAAATAATTAAAAACAGGCATGGCAAAGAAGTTACTTTAATTTAGTCATAAAAATGAAATTCGCTCACCGCGTCCTTTCAACGCAGTCGCCATGATTAAATTTTACGACACGGCTATTCTTTGCTTTACGGTATAAACGTTTAATAAAAGTTTATATAATATTATAAACATAATTTAACATATTTAATGCATTTAAACGTTACATTTATATGATTTAGTACAAGCTTATTATTTGTAATTAAAAAAATGTACGCGTATTAAAAGTTTTTATTAAAAGCAAACTCCGCATGGTTTGACCCAGTTGGTTTTCCGTAGTATGCCTCAATTTACGACAGCAAGAAAACGAGTTACGACATTTCGTGTTGCGGCTCCTGGTAACATGTGAAAAGAAGTTTGTTTTGATTTTGTCCAGACTTTAATTAGTTTAAAAAAAAAGAAAAAGATTTATTTAAAACGTCCGAGGCGACATGAACGAGAGATCGCTTCCCGCCTCTCCCAACTGGTACTGCTCGCGCTGCAGTGACGTCAACAGCACCGGTTTGTTGGGCGTCGGAGCCAAGAACGTCGTTTACCTGATTGATGTTTCCGCGTCCTCGTGCAGAGTTACAGGTGAGTGTTGCTCTGTGGTACAGCGGACGGCTGCTTCAGTGTCTGCTGCCAGAACAGGTGGACCACACAGGTGAAAGTCACGGGTCTGAGCCAAGATTTTAACAAAAACCAACAGTTTCTCATAGATTTGTCAAAAACAAAAATCTGCTTCATATTTTGGGCATCCCCAAGGAAAACTAACCTTTCACCACCTGCTTGTGGTAGTTTCAAGTCAAGTCACGTCAATTTTATTTATAAAGCACATTGAAAAACAGCAGATGTTACCAAAGGTTATCCAAAGGGTGGCCCCCTTAATCATGAAGAGAGCCACCTGCATCATGAAGGACCACACTCACCCAGCACACACACTTTTTGCCCCACTCCCCTCAGGAAGGAGGTTGAGGACTGGAGCATTAAGTGTAGAACCACTAGACTGAGGAACAGCTTCTACCCTGAGGCTGTTAGACTCATGAATCTCTAACCAGAATAATCACATCACGTTGCTGCTGATCTGTTTCATGTTGCTGCTGATCTGTTTCATGTTGCTGTGTTCATGCGTGCTCATCTGCTCACACAGACTCATGTTCGTGCTGCTGTTCGACGTAATGTTTTTATTCTATTAGTGCTTAGTGTATATTTAGTTGATGTTTTTCTTAGTTCATATCTTAGACCTTATCATTGTTTTTCTTTTACATCTTATTGTTGGATGTAACTGGGACCCTGTGAACATAATCTTGTTCCACCACATGAGATGCGAATGAAAAATAAATCTCGCTGACTCTGAAAGTGCTTAACAATAAAATCAATAGCAGTAATTAAAAACATAAAAACACAAAACTATGAAATAGTAAACCAGATCACACCATGTTAAACGTCAGAGAAAACGGATAAGAGGTTTAAAAACAGGAGTGCTGGGGGGCGGCAGCTTGTTCCGAAGTTTAGGGTATTTAGTATTTAGTATTTAGTATTTAGACCCCTGTTCAGAACACGGATACGTAAACGTCAGGAAAACAAGCGCTTCTAAACAAAGCGGAGCTCATGGAGCTGTTTTCATGAGTGAGTAAAAAGAAAAACACCTCAAGTTCCTAACGGAACGCGCTCATCTTTGACGTCCATTAGACGTGAATATTCTTTAAGCCGTGGATTCAAAATGACCCCCCCCCCCCCCCCCCCCACACACACACACACACACACACACGCGGCCCTCTGATGTAACGGGATCTGTTTGTGTTCTGCAGGTGAGCTCGCGGGCCACCGGGACCTGGTGTCGGGCTTTTCTTTCTGTCCGCACGCCGAGCAGAGTCACGTCTGCGTCAGCTCGTCCACCGACGGCACCGTTCGTTTCTGGGACTCCAAGTCCAAGACGGTGATCAGGGAGCATGCTGCCCACCAGGTGAGGGCTCCACCTGCTCAGACACCGACGCCCCCACGTCGATCAAATCCAGCTTTTCTGTTAACGATAAATCTCCTCGGACACTGAGTTTTCTCCAAACCCTAAGACAGAAGGTGGTTCTGGTTCTTTTGTCCTCTCAGAGTCCAGTCTCCGCGGTCCACTGGTCTCCTGTCGACAAGAACCTGGTGGTGTCGGGGGACGAGAAAGGAGTGGTGGTCGTCCACTGGTTCCACACCGGAGACACGTGCAGCTTCTTCCCCGAGCCGAGGACCATCTTCTGCCTCAGCTGCTGTCCTCACAGCTGGAAGTCTGTGGCTGTCGGGTAGGACCAGAACACAGAACTCGTTCACACAGCAGGATCCAGATCTGAACCAGAACCCGTTCACACAGCAGGATCCAGATCTGAACCAGAACCTGTTCACACAGCAGGATCCAGATCTGAACCAGAACCTGTTCACACAGCAGGATCCAGATCTGACCCAGAACCCGTTCACACAGCAGGATCCAGATCTGAACCAGTTTCACTCTTTTTGGTTCGGGAATAAAGGTTTAATTGTATAAAGATGGAAAGTTTGAACGAACCAAATAAAATCAGCCGAACTTTAGCTCATCTTATTATAATGGGGTGTCTGTGACGTGTTTGGAAGGTTTTAAAACTTGTAAATCTTTGTGTTTCTAATCTTGACAGATAAATAATTTGTTTTTATTTTTATTGTCTCATGTTTTCTGTTTTTGTATGAATATAAGTTTTATCTGCACGGTTTATCAAAAACGCCACAAACTGTTTATAGACAAAACAAATCGTGTTTAACTGGAAGTCTGTTTGGTTGCTGTCGTCTAACGTGGACCCTGCTGCAGGTACAAAGATGGGATGATCGTCCTCATCGACGTCAGTCAGAAAGGAGAAGTGACGCACCGTCTCCGTGGACACGACAACGAGATCCACTCGCTGGCGTGGGCGCCTCAGAGCGGCGAGGACGCTCTCTGCAGCAGAGCCGACGACGGCGACGGTAACGACGGGGGCCGTGTTATTTACCGTAGGAGGGATATTTAGACCGACCTGAGGCTTTTTCTGACTGTCTGCAGGAATTAACGGAGCTCCCCGAGGAGAGGACGCCGGCTGCTTCCTCGCATCGGGGAGCAAAGACCAGACGGTGAGGATCTGGAGCACAGCCAAGGGGAAAGGTGAGAGAGCTGGCTTGAGTGGCGGCAACTCGAACCTTCAGTTTGATGAACTCTGAGTCCGCTCTCACAGCTCTGATGACCCTGAAGCTGCCCTTCCTGAAGAGAAGAGGTTCTGCCGTCGACCCCGGGGTCCGAGAGAGGATCTGGCTGAACGTCCACTGGCCGAAGGGACGACCCACGCAGCTGGTGTCCAGCTGCTTCAGGTGCACGTCCATCCTGCCGTGGTCGTCACGGCGATAAACACGTCTGTTCGAGTTGATCCAGTTCCTGCTCACACTTGGTTCTGTCTGTTTTGACTGTTCATGGGTGGAAGCGGTGAGTTGGTGTTGTGGGATTTGGCCAAGTCGGGGAAGCAGAAGTGGAGTCTGTTTGGAGCGTCGTCCGAGGGCCAGAACCACAGCCGGATCGTCTTCAACATGAGTTCTGTTGAGCTGCAGGACAGAGAGCTGCTCATCAGCACCTCCATGGACCGAGAGGTGGGTCACCAGAACCTTCCGTCTTCTTTCTGCTCCTCTTATTGGACCGGTGGCAAAACGTTAACTCAAAGTAGAAAAGTGCAAGCTAAAAGCTAGAGAGCTAAAAGTACCAACAGTAGCTAAAAATTATATTGTCTATTTAAAACAAGCACACACTAGCCAAAAGCAAAAAAGTAGCAACATTTTCCTCAAAGTAGCAAAATGCTAGTTAAAAGCTAAATGTACCAACTGTAGCTAGAAAGTACATCAGCAAAAGCCTAGTTAAAATGAGGAAATAATAGCTAAAAGCTCAAAAGTAGCCAAATTTTAGCTCAAAGCAGCAAAATGCCAATTAAATGCTAAAATACGTGAGTGCAGCTACAGCGTGCACTCTCAGGACATCATTACCTGCAGTGTTCCCTCAGTGAGGACTGAACTAGACAAAAGGACCTTCTCCTACTCCGCTCCTGTTTCCTGGAATATCTTGTAAAAACATCTGAAGCTCTTGACCTTGATACTTGAAAAGTATCTTAAGTTTATTTAAAATAAGCAAACACTAGCTAAAAGTGCAAAAGTAGCAACATTTTCCTCAAAGTAGAAAAATGCTAGTGAAAAGCTAACTGTACCAACAGTAGCTAGAAAGTAAAAATATCGTGTCTGTTTAAAATGATCAAACGCTAGCTAAAAGCTAAAAATCAGCCAAATTCTAGCCCAACGTAACAAAATGCCAGCTTAAATCTAAAAGTCCCAACGGTAACTAAAACGTAAAAGCAGCAAACATAGTTTAAATGAGCAAAATAGTAGCTAAAGGCAACAGAAGAGTTAGTCAAAGACTGCAAGTAGCTAAAGGTTAGCTAAGTGTAGTAAAAGCCTAAAAGTAAAAGCTAAAATTGAGATTTCAGCGCTGACTCGGAGCTGTTGAATTCTGGTACCACTGACGGATCAAGCTTCAGTGAACCTTGTTTTCGTCGTGTTCAGATTAAATGCTGGGACCTGGACTCTTTGGGCTGCTGCTGGACCCTCCCCACCCTGGGGGGTCACGTCTACACTCTGACCTTCTCCCCGGTGGGCGTGGGCTGTCTGGCTCTGGGTGTCGGGGACAACATGATCCGGGTCTGGAACACGCTGAGCACTCAGAACCCGTACGACATCCGGTCCTTCTGGCAGGGCATCAAGTCCAAGGTCACGGCGGTGAGTTCGTCTCTGACGTCAGACATTTTATAAAAAATAAAAACGTCTCTGACCCCGAAGAGCTCCTGAGAAAAGATCCTCCGTCTTTTTGTTTCTCCTAGCTGGCGTGGCATCCGAGAAAAGAAGGCTGCTTGTCGTTTGGAACGGACGATGGGAAAGTTGGGATTTATGACGTCTTCTCCAACAAGTAAGAGCGATGGTCAGGGCTCCGCTGTGCGCTGACTCAACTCCTGTGCTTTTCAACGGTGGCGCCTATCCACCGATAAAATGGGTCAGAAAATAAAGAACAAAGGAAGGAATGAAGGAGTTTAGTTATTCTGTTAACGTGTACCAAACAGAAAAATGCATGCACACAAAAAGCATATGTAAACGAGCGACTTGGCTGCGTTTTGAGTTACCATGGCGACGTAATTCACCAAAAACTGCTGCAGAACACCCCCACCCAACCCAAGACTTCCACCTTAAATCCTACTAACTCCATTAAAACTGTTGTTTGTAAGTTTCCATAACTTCCATCCTGTGGTTCATGAAATATTTCACGGTAATCATCGGAGGTTCCTCCCCAACAGATTGGTGATTTGATCTGGTTCAAAATGGCCGCCACAACTAACCTAAACATGGCTGTAACTCGGTCAGTGTGTAAGCTACATTGTGGTTGTTGCTAATAGTGATGCTAAGCACTTTCTGTGACTGCCAGCAGATTCCTCACTTTGTACCGTAATTTCCGGACTATTGAGTGCACCGGAATATAAGCCACGCCCACTAATTAAAAAATATAAGTACATATATAGGCCACACTTATATGGCCACGGGTGTCCACGTTGTAACATGAGATATTTATACAGAAAGATTTTTTAAAAAGCTTTTAATTAAATACTGAATTTAAATACCGTCACAGCTGCTGAGATGTGCAGCTCTTGTAGTTCAACAACCAACCACCAGATGGCGTTTCATAGACTTTATCTTACTGCTGAACACACACAGACAGAGTGAACCCCACAGGTCTTCATAACGCATCGTTACTCTAATGAATGGCCGAACACAAAGTAACGCATAATGAACACATAAACCAGGCTAACAAGAACAGACTAGTCACTAACAACAATGCTGAACAGCTAAATGAAACAAAGTGTCATTGGTCCATTGTGACCTGTTCAGTAATTTCATTGGTCAGATTTTTTTGAACCTTTATTTATACAGGTAGTCTCCTTGAGTCATGCGGGCCCACCCCCCAAGAGAGACGTGAATTGGGCAGCTATGTGAGCACCCGGGTGTGACGAGGCTGAATGTTTTGGCGGCATGAAGCTCGTTAGCTCAGAAAAAAACAACCATAAATTGGCCGCAGTATTGTGTAAGCCGAAGGGTTCAAAGCATGTGAATAAAGTATTGGACTGGAAATTAAGATAATTACATTTTTTCATTATGAGCTACTGGGAACAATGTCTGTTAGCAAAATATCTCACAGTCAGATCTTGAGAAGGCAATATTGACCCAAATATCTCAAGCTAATTATTTTCAGAGGCTAACTGATAAAGGATGAACTCACTACGTGGCAGGCTCCTTGTTTATTTTTGGTTTTAGTAACTCCTCGTACGTGTCGGCTGCGGCTTTAGCTCTTATTAGCTGTAAATCTGTGAGAATGCGTCTTTGTAAAGTCTTGAACTCCTCCCGTTTGACTCGTAACGATAAGAACTTCATTTAACATTAAAATCACAACAACGAAGGTCTGTTTGGGCACATTAAACCGTCTGACTCAGGATCTTCTGTAAATGTTGCAGTTCTTAGTTGAAGCTGTTTGAAGAATTTATTGTTAGATGTTTTGTAGTTTGTCTGCAGCCGTCCTCGCCCTCCGTCACCGACCGGCTGTTTCTTCTGCTTCGCTTCCTGCAGGCCTCCTCAGATATCCAGCTCTTATCACAGGAAGACCGTCTACACGTTGGCCTGGGGACCCCCGGTGCCCCCCATGTCTCTTGGTGAGTTCCTAATGAAGCTCCGGAGTGTTCGGACCCAGCAGAGGTTCAGCGGGTCAGCAGAACTGTGAGCGGCTCTGCTGCCGCCGTCTGACTCGGCCATCGACATACAGGAAGTTGGTTCACCAGCTGTTAGCGTGTAGCATTTGGATTAGCGTGTCGATCAACTTTGCTCCTCGGCGCCACTATCGGCTGATATTTCTGAAGCAAAAACATGCAGCTGCTTGGCTGCTGAGAATTGCTGAAGAACACGCGCTAAAGGCTAAAATGAGCAAAATACTAGCTAAAAGTTCAAAGTTGCAAAATGTTAGCTATAAGCTAAAAGTCAAAGACTAGAAAGAAGAACCAAACACTTCCTAAAAGATAAAGTAATAAAATGCTAGCTGTAAGAGTTTTTAGTAGCTAAAAGCTACAAGTAGCAAAAGGCTAGATACAAGCTAAATATACCTAAAAGGCATCTAAAAGCTAAATGTAGCAAGAAGGTAGTTAAAAGCTAAATGTTGCAAAAGGTAGCTTAAAGTAGCAAGACAGTAGCTGAAAGCTAACTGTACCATAGGCTAACTTCATGCTAAAAGTAGCCTAAGAAAACGACAACAGATAGCTTCAGTCAAAAACTGAAGCAGATTTCAAATGATGTTTTGAAGGAATCGAAGAGATCTGAATGTATTTTTATGAACAAATGTTTGTAAATACAGCTAAATATTAAGTTTTAAAGCCCAAAAGTCACAGCAGCCATCCTCTGAATGAGCCGAAGTCTTTGATATACTAATGGTTAAATTAGCACGAAGAATGCAGAAGTAGGTCACTTGTAAAAACTTTTAAAACCTGATTTTTAATCAGTTACACGTTAACGTCCGTTAAAGACTTCTCAGGAAGTAAACCCAAAGATCTGTTTTCAAGGTAAGTAAAAGAATGCAGGTTTAATTTTTTTGTTAAAGATGTTTTTGTCCAGAGGTCTGAATCGTGTGTTCGTGTGGCGTTCAGGTGCAGAAGGAAAACAGAGCTACAGCCTGTACAGCTGCTCAGGGGAAGGCGTCATCCTGCAGCACGACCCGTCGAAGCTGAGCGGAGACGCGTCGGACATTGACAAGCTGATCAGAGACACCAACAACATCCAGGTGGGACGGAGGAGGACTCGTAAAAAAAACAAAAACAATAAGACAAATTTAAACCAGTAAATTATAAAAACTCATTCTGTAGTCAAAGTGGGAGGAGCTTAAAATCACCAACTATCAAACTATCATTTTTGTTTTCTTCGTCCCGGCAGCACAAGTTGTCTCCACACACCGACCTCAGCTGGAAGCCCGATGGGACAGTTGTTGCCATTGGCAACGAGGACGGGTGAGTCAAGTTTTTATTTGAGATGGTCCGGCTGGAGGCCGCTGAAGGACCAGTTCTGGTTCTGTCGGGCGTCCTCAGAGTGTCGGTCCTTTAGGACGTAGACTCCTCCGCCTGTTTTGTCTGTGCTCTCCGACCTTTGACCTTCGTCTGGCGGCTGCAGGAGCATCGACGTGTACCAGGCTCCTCGTCTGAAGCAGCTCTGCAGCGTCCAGCAGCACCACAAGGTCATCAACTCGTTACGATGGCACCCGGACCCCCACTGTCCCCCCGAGCTGAGCGGGCTGCTGGCCTCCGGCTCCAGCAACGCCATCGTCTTCATCCACAACCTGCGCGCCGTCATCGGTACGACGAGCCCGTCTGTCGCCTGCTGGATCCAGCCGTTACTTTGGGGTCAAAGGTTAACGTTCCACTCGATCCCGTTTCTTCCTCTCTGCAGAGAACCCTCCGGAGGAGCCCGTGGTCCTGAACGAGTCGTATCGCAGGTTGTGCGGTCATACGGCTAAAATCACGGGCATGGCCTGGAGCCCGCATCACAACGGCCGGCTGGTCACCGCCTCGTATGACGGCACGGCGCAGGTCAGTGTGGGAGGAGATCCAGACACCACGCACGTTCTGTTCGGACCACTGTAAGCCTGTAATGGTTCTCCGTGGTTCTGGTGTTCTCCAGGTGTGGGACGTCCTGGAGGAGGCAGCTGTCGCCAACTACCGCGGTCACAACAACTACCTGCTGTGTGTCGACTGGTCGCCCGTGGATCCAGATGTGGTCTGGACCGGAGGGAAGGACTTCACCGTGCACGAGTGGAAGGTCTCCAGGCAAGAGTTCACCAAGCCGCCCAAAGGTAAACATCTGGACCAGCAGCTGGATCCAGAACAAACCACCGGAACACAACGTTCTTGTGTTTGTCCACCTCAGGGAAGAAGATGGTCATGCTGCAGGAGAAGAAGGCCACCTCCAAGCAGCAGAAGAAGAAGAACAAGACCACGGGAGAGTCCGGAGGAGCCGCGAGGCCGAAGGCAAACGGAGAGCCCGGCGTGGAAGAGGAGACGAAAAAGGAGCCGTCTGAAGGAGAAGACGACGACGTAAAGTCGACAAACGGCCTCGAAGCTCCAGCAGGTAGAAAAATAAAAGCACGAAGGTGTCAGAAGGTCAGGGAGACATTTTTATTTAATCAAGTTTTTATTGTTTCAGCAAATCCAGAGGTGCAAAGAAAATCAACGTCTGCTGCAAAAAACAAAACAGGTGAGAAGAACATGAACAGAACACGTACAAATACCTGCGTACCTGTGTGTGATATGAATATCTGCGTACCTGTGCGTGATATAAATACCTGCGTACCTGTGCGTGATATAAATACCTGCGTACCTGTGCGTAATATAAATACCTGCGTACCTGTGCGTAATATAAATACCTGCGTACCTGTGCGTAATATAAATACCTGCGTACCTGTGCGTAATATAAATACCTGCGTACCTGTGCGTAATATAAATACCTGCGTACCTGTGCGTAATATAAATACCTGCGTACCTGTGCGTAATATAAATACCTGCGTACCTGTGCGTAATATAAATACCTGCGTACCTGTACGTGATATGAATACCTGCGTACCTGTGCGTAATATAAATACCTGCGTACCTGTACGTGATATGAATACCTGCGTACCTGTGCGTAATATAAATACCTGCGAACCTGTGCGTGATATGAATACCTGCGTACCTGTACGTGATATGAATACCTGCGTACCTGTACGTGATATGAATACCTGCGTACTTTATTCAGGGTTGGGTTTTTTCTGAGCGTAAATTCAGTTTAAAAATATAAACCGTTCATGCAGCCTCTTTTTATAAATCGTTAGTTGTCGGCTTTAAGATGAAAATAAACTATTTGTGTTTAAAAAGTGACAAAAACATGAAGTCTGTGGTTTCATACTCGCAGTGTGTTTTTCGTACTCGCTGTGTGTTCTTTGTACTCACTGTGTGTTTTTTTTGTGCTTGCAGTTTGTTTTTTGTATCCGCTGTGTTTTTTTTTTTCATACTTGCGGTGCGTTTTTCCTACTCAGTGTGTTTTTTTTGTACTTGTGGTGCTTTTTGTACTCGCAGTGTGTCTTTTGTACTCGTGGTTTGTTTTTCATACTGGCGGTGTTTTTTTGTACTCACTGTTTGTTTTTTGTACTTGCAGAGTGGTTTTTTTTGTACTTGCAGTGTGTTTTTCGTACTCATGGTGTATTTTTTGTACTCGTGGTGTGTTTTTTGTACTTGCGGTGTGTTTTTTTTTTACCCGTGGTGTGTTTCATTGTATCAGATTGAAGCTGATGAGCTCAGATTGATGTTAAATTGTTTGTTTTTCCAGATTTCCACCTGTTGAAGAAGAAGAAGGCTCGCTCCATGCTGCCCCTCAGTACCTGCATGGACCACCGGCCCAAAGAAGAACTGCTGCAGGACTGCGTCACGCTGGCTTCCCTCAGATACTCTGAAGGTGAGACGCTTTAAAACCTGAAAACATGATGGATTTAAAACCATCCAGCCAAAACTTAAAGAAATTAAACTTTCAGGAAGCCTTTGGATGGACAATAACTTATTTACTTTGGGAGCCAATTTAATTCAAGATGGCTGCCACAGCCAACTGCCCATAGAAACCACAGAAATGTATGTATGTGTGTATATATATATATATATATATATATATACATACACACACACACATAGATAT